TCTACAACTTTCTTTTAGACTACGTCGGCTAATTTTGAATTTATTTTTATTATTTATTTTTAGTAGGCCGGGACAGGAAAACTCCGTTATAAAATCATAACTTCTTTATCCGACGTCCGTTTTCGCCTATCTTTTTATCATTTTACTCCTATTAACGAGACCTTAGATTCTCATTTAGATTGTTTCGGATATAAACCGCTCGGTCTCAAATCGAGCATTCGGGTTGCATACGCTAAGTCGAAACTTCGAAAAATCATAACTTCCTCATACGAAGTCAGATTTGGGCGTTCTTTTTATGCACGCTCATGGTTTAACGTATTCTAGGACTTTCATTTAGATTGATAAGGCTAAATATCGCTCTAACGTAAATTCACTTTTTACGTCGCGCTGTGTCGTGTCGGTTCTGTCGTGAAACTTCGGCAGGTTATAACTTCTTCGTTATAACTCGGATTTCGGTGTTCTTTATATGCACGGAGACCTTGTACCATATACTATAACTTAATTAAGATTATTCCTTCAAAATAATCGTCCATCAAAAAGTCATTTTTGACGCTTAACGTCTCTAATTGACTAGCCCGGATCTACGGGCGTTACAATTATCTCCCCCTTAGGATGATTACGTCCCGGAATCATCAACGAAATAGGACTTGCATAATGATTTCACATGTTATTTATTCATCCTAGGTAATAACCGTAACTTCTATGTTTCCTCGAAAGAGTATTTAATTCTATGACTTTCTTGACCGCAGAAGATGCCCAATCTTGCATCTGCTTATCGTACTATGTTGTACTTTCAATCGTAACCCTCAAGTTACCAAATAAGTCCTTATTGTGGACTCCTTCTTCTTCTCAGGATAATTACTTTCATTTATCTATTGTAACAAATCGATGGGTCGTGCTCTATTGACCTCTCATCGCACGATGCGACGCTTAGACACGGTATTTAATGAAGTTGAATTCCAAGATGGAATATACCTTTCTTCATATTCTAACATGATATAATCACATTTTAGCATGTAGCATTTCTACCTACAAACTTCTTTTAACAACGAGCGCGACACTATCAATCGCATTAACTTCAACCTTCTGACTTAAGTCAGATGTTACATCTAACTTGGTCCTCTAGACCACGTAACATACTCCTCGTAGTCGAACTCAAATTTAAATATGACCACTAGGGTCGGAAAAAGAACCATATTACTAGTCATTACCGAAACAATGGTAATGACATACCAGAATAAAGTGGAATCAATTACTAGCTTCTTGGTAACCTTATGACTTTCCCTGATCCAAGTGCGAGTCCTGTGCTTCCGATAGTATATGCATCTACTATCTTTCACACCTACTCATACTCGTCCCAAGTATTGTCCCGCAGTTGACCAAGTCACCATACAAGAAAATCAGACAATCATTCAACACATCAGTTACCTAAACTAGGGTTTATATTAATTCCTTGAAACGATTACACAAAAGTTCAAGTTCACCCTATACTATGCCTCTAATAGGCTACATACATGATACTTTTCATATCGCTACTTTTCATATCGCTACTTTAACTTTATATTATACACATAGCACGTATTTTATAGCAAATACTTAATATTTATGTGTTAGAAGAAAGTAACTACACACTCACTTGATCAGAATATGATCGGACAGCACTACGGCTTGTAGAAGTAGTATTCTTCGGTAGATTTGGAAGATCTTCAAAAAAACCGAACTCCTCGCTGGCAGAGCTTCGGCTCGGGAATCGCACTTCTCAGGATCTTCGGGGCCTCGGGACGTGCTTCGGGGCTCGGGAATGATACCGGGGCTTTGGGATATTTCTTGCACGAAAAACGATGCAAAAACGCGAGAAAATGGGAAGAAATGAGCAAAGAAGTCGGTTGCCCTCGACACCCTTTTATAGGGGGCTGGAACACGAATTACGCTGGGCGTAACAGCGATAAGATCGCTGACTCCCCCCCCCCCCCTTCCTTCGGATAATATCGGAATTTATATATAAATAAAATATCGAAAATATTTAATAAACTTCAAAAATTCATATCTTCCTCATACGAACTCCATTTTCGATGTTCTTTATATCCCCACGTAGGTGAGACTACGATCTACAACTTTCTTTTAGACTCCGTCGGCTAATTTTAACTTTATTTTTATTATTTATTTTTAGTAGACCGGAACAGGAAAACTCCGTTATAAAATCATAACTTCTTTATCCGACGTCCGTTTTTGCCTATCTTTTTATCGTTTTACTCCTATTAACGAGACCTTCGATTCTCATTTATATTGTTTCGGCTAAAAACCGCTCGGTCTCAAATCGAGCATTCGGGCTGCATACCGCTAAGTCAAAATATCGAAAAATCATAACTTCCTCATACGAAGTCAGATTTGGGCGTTATTTTTATGCACGCTCATGGTTTAACATATTCTACAACTTTGATTTAGATTGCTAAGGCTAAATATCGCTCTAACGTAAATTCACTTTTTACATCGCGCTGTGTCGTGCCGGTTCTATCGCGAAACTTCGACAGGTTATAACTTCTTCGTTATAACTCGGATTTCGGTGTTCTTTATATGCACGGAAACCCTGTACCATATACTATAACTTAATTAAGATTATTCCTTCAAAATAATCTTCCATCAAAAAGTTATTTTTGACGCTTAACGTCTCTAATTGACTAGCCCGGATCTACGAGCGTTACAATGGTCCTAAGGAAACTGACCAAAAACTCTCTCGAGTTATCTCCCAACCATCTCTGTTTGTCACAGGCACTTGAAAAAGTAAAATTAACAACCAAATTTAAAAGATCTTCCAATTGTCGAGTTTCTTGACCCTTAATTTTTCAAGTTGGTAACAATTAGATAAGTGACGACTGAATGATACTTCATATGTTGTTGTTGTCGTTCTTGTTTCTACTGCTAATGTTGTTGTTGTGAAAACACTTATATGAAATCTTTTGTTGTATCACTTTATAAACAATCAACACCACATATGTATTTAAAACAATTATGTGTAAATTTTGTATGTGGTTTCCTACCACACTAATATATGTCCCTATTATGCTAAAAAGTTGGTCATTCATTTTGTGCCATATCGAATGACCATTAAATGGTCAATATTGGATACGTTTTCTTACAAAAGTACCAATAAATTAACCATAATGTTTTTCCAAAAAAAAATAAAAATACCAGTGCACCAACAACAAAAACATTTCCATTACACTAAATGCATTTCTATTGCATCAAAGACATTTCCATTTCAAGAAAATGAAACAAAATACAATTACAACCACCAAACTATCATCATAAGACCAACTGCTACAACATTCACAAATTCAAGAAAATAAAAAAAAAATTTATAACCTATGTACTTATGAACAATAACTTGTACAACGAAACTAGCATCATAACACCAACTGCTACTTTAAGCCTATTTATTCCCCTCAGTAACCCGAGAGTGATTTCCATGGACCTATGACACATTGGTAGGTTAACCCATCTAATGAATGTGCACTTTATCTAGATTTCGAGCAGGTCCAAAACCTTTGACATGGGTTGTTGTCAGTCCACGATGTCAAAATTATAGCACCTCGATTGTTGAAGCAAATGACCATTGTCATTTTTTTGTGTTCTTGAAAGGAAGATTTTTTTTCGTAACTTTCAAAGAAGAAAGATAGAGTTAGAGAACAAACAGAGATGTGGAAGAGAAAGTACGGTATTGTATATGCTTTAAATAAGTTAAATGAACCAACCTCATTAATGAACGATTACCCTTACATTTTGTGCGTGTGACGGACATTTGACGATAATTTATCGACTGAGGGAGTGACTTTTTATGTAATAACAAAAAAACACAAGGATTGACTTTTTCAATTTTCTTGAAGTTGGACTATATTTGCCTATTTCGCCATACTATAGGGACCACTTATGTATTTCTCTTATTGATATTGAAAATTTAGACAAAACTGCAAAAATGGTCCCAATGTATTCTTTTTAGGAAAAATATCCAAACCCTAAAAAATTAGATTGATGTTCTTTTGGACATATTTGTATGGACATATGATCCCTTCCAAAATTGAAATGACTATTATAACCTTTTATTTTTATATTTTTAATATTTATTTTTATATATTTATAACTAAAAAAATAAAAAAGGACCCACATCATATGTACCCACGTCTTCCCCTCCCCCTATACTGTTAACTACCTTCCACTCTACATCTCTCAAACTCCCCTCCAAACATGTCATTGATCTTCCAATTTACCCAAATCCTAACCCTAATTTCGATCCATTATAACTCCCAAGTCTCAGTTTCAAACGCTTTCATCTCCATTAGCGTCATCATCGACTTCTTCATCAAGGCTTACCCCTCCAAAACCCTAAAAATTCCCATCAAAACCCTCTTTTCACAAACCTCCAATCCTCATCCTCTAGAAAAACCCTTAACCTTCGTCTTAATTCTTCGAGCGAATCCCGATTAGGCAGATGTCATTAAAGAGAGGCATATGAAATAGAGTAAACCACTTTACAAAAATGATGATTGCGTTTACGTTAGTAGAGACGGTTGTAGCTAGTTACAACACAATGATTATTTGGCACTATTTCCATAGATTTTTGTCCTTATAACTTCTTCTTTTCCATACCGAATGACTGCACCAACGTTGGCGTTTTTGTTGGTTTTCAGAACAAAGCTTTGTATTCGAGGTTTGGGGAAGGGAGGAAGGCTTGAAGTAAGGTGCCTTATGGGACAAATGGCTTTGTTAGACAAGTAATTGTTAGACCGGTGAAAGATTTCTTTTTGAAGACAATATTTTTATAGTGTATTATTGTGTTTCAAGGGGCTTTACCGACAATGAAAGAGTGGAGGTTGTAAAGGAGTAACTATGTTTTAATCTTAGTGCATTTTTTTTTCAAGAGAGAGAGAGATTTATATTTAATAAAACTTTATAAATAGAAAAAGACATTTAAAAAATATCCTGATAACAATTTAGTTTTTTTAGTTTTTCAAGGGAGAAACCAAATTTTCTAACATTTATACATGGAAAACATAGAAAACCGTAAGGTATATTTTTACACTTTTACAAACGAGTAAAAACTATAATGGGGCGGGTAAATGGGGGGAGGAAATCGGTTTGTTTCCACCTTTGAGAATTTCGGGTAGGGTATCGTACGGACTACACCGCGGGCGGTGGCCGGTGGTGTAAATTCACAAATACATGGCGGACAGTTCCATTGTTTTAACTGAACTACATAGAAAGTCAACCAGCTGGGCTAAAGTAGTCGATGAAATAGTAAGAATAGAGAAGAAGATTTTCCCCAAACACGAATCACTCGCTCGATCGTTCGATGATGAACTCAAGAAGAAGAACAGCGGTTTAATCTACTTGGAAATTAATGGCGACCTTGCTGGCTATGTCATGTATTCATGTCCTTCTTCACTTTGTGCCATTATCACTAAACTCGCAGGTATCATTCGAAATTCCCATTTTTTTCATCATCTACCTTACGTCTCTGAATCCAAATCGATTGTTTTTATAACATATATAGACATAAACATGTGGATTTGCTTTGCATAGATTAGGGGGAATTTGAAATTGATATGGGTGTTGCGTAGCAGGTTGAGTTTTCTAACCGATCTTATTGGATAAATTTGTGTGTTCAAACCAATTTTTTTTTTTCAAGTAACAATTTTTATGAAAGTTAAACCATGGAAGAAGGGGAATGGAAAAGTTCATGAAATTAGATTATATTATTTATAGTCCTTTATCAAAGTAAAAGGAAACTTGGATAAGCTATTTGAGTGTCAGAATTGCTAATATTATTCAAACCAAAAGATTTTTTTCAAGAAACAATTAATATGTTTGTTTTCAAATTAGCCCAATTGTCTGTAGGGATTTAGACTACTCATAATCAATAAAAATCCATAGTTCTTTAAGGCCACTTTTGTTACAAATGGCATGACTTGACATTACATGACAGCTTTGTACTGAATTTGGTGTGCATTTGGCTGCGACACTGACAGATATCAATGGGACAAAATTTGAAATTTTAATCTCTCGTTTGTGCAAAAAGACGTAAATGACCTCATTGTCCTTATCTATGACATGTGTTGTGTTTGTTAGACGAGAGAGGATTGGATTAGACTTGACGAGACTAAAAAAATTACTAGGCATATTTTCGACGATGAGAATAACGAGGGTATTCACGTCTTTTGCATGTATGATAGTTTTAAAACAAGTCATTTTCCCACCTTTTTGGGTAGGGCAAAAGATTACAATCTTTGTCGTACCGACATCAGTCCTAGTCCAAACACACAGTAGAACCTGTCATATCATGCGATGCGTATACGGATACATGACATGACAGGTTGTACCGTGTGTTGCTTTGTTTTACCTAAATTTATGTGATTTTGAGTTTTGATTATTCTTTATTTTCAATTTTTCGTTTTATTTACCGATAAATACTAGTGAAGGAGAATTATAGGAAACAAGGGCATGGAGATACACTATTGAAAGCAGCAATAGAGAAATGCAAAAGTAAACGTATACACCGCATATCACTTCATGTGGATCCATTAAGAACTCCCGCAATGCATCTTTACAAGAAACTCGGTTTCCAAATCGATACTTTGGTGAAGGCTTATTATTCTTCTGATCGAGATGCATATAGGATGTACTTAGACTTCGATAAAGAGTAACCAACATTATTCAAGAAATAGCAACCTACTTTCATTTATTTTTGTACTTTCAAAATTTTATTTTCTTTTTTATTTTCTTATTAAAGCATTGTACTATCCCAATTATAACATTGTACTTTGATTTTTTTCTTATAAAGAAACATAATCAATGAAAATGTATTGTTATTTTGTTGCATTTACTTCTTTTATTTATCCATACAAATTTTTGAAGATTTTTGTAGTCGCGGATATTTTATGATTTAATGATAGGAGTTAACCGTTAAGTACAATATCGCACAGATATTACCAAGTCTTTACTTAATAGTACTTATCATCTTTTTTTATTTGTTTTATTTTGTTTTCACTTTTTTTTAATCTTTAGGGAAAATGAAACCATCTGTATATGCAAGTAGTGGGCTGAAGAGACTGGGCCTAATATTACTTCAGTTGTGTTTCAAATGCTTCATATTTCCAAATTATAAATGGGCCTCAAACCCAAATGGGCCTCCGCACTCCCCCAATAAATATTCAAGAGCAACATTAATGTTTTCATATTTCTTTCATGAAAATTTGTCCAAGTCACAAAAGATGTGTACAATCAATTTACCTATACGATAGATTTTAGTTACATAATTTGTCTGTTTATTTGGTTGTCATTATTTTTGCAATGTATGAACTTAGTTTGTTACAAATATATAAAAATACGTGGATTTTGCTTTTAAACAATTATATCATTAATAAAATTCTAATCATTACCTATAAATTGACGTCAAATATATTATTGAGATCCTTTTATTTTTATCTACATAATGAGACAAATTTGTCTCAATCCGGTGTACAACAAAGACGGTATATTTTCGGTTTCAAAAAGAAGCATTACTCAATGGGAATCAAGAATTTTGCATGTTCAACTCATTCATATAAAAAATTGAACCAAAGATAGTAAAAGTTGCACTTGATCATTATGATTGGATAGAAACAATGCAAGCAAGACTGAATGAATTTGAAAGAAATAATGTTTGGCGATTAATTCCAACACCTCCAAATGCTTCTGTTGTCGGCTTAAAGTGGATTTTTCGCAACAAAGTTCATAAATAAGGCAATATTGTTCGCAACAAAGCACGTCTCATTGTGAAAGGTTATTGTCAAGAATAAGGCATTAACTACAAAGAGACATTCGCACCAGTGACCAGATTGGAACCAATTTGCATTTTTTTGGCATATGATGCTTACAAATTTTTTGAAGTATTTCAAATGGATGGGAAGTGTGCATTTCTCAATGGTGAATTGGAAGAAACAGTCTGTAACACCTCATTTATTTATTAGATAAATAAATAAATTAATGAACGGATAGTACCCCTAAAATAAATAATTATATATCAATGATGGTCTCGAAGGGCTAATTGTTACAATTTTAGAAGTTGGGGATTAAGAGTGTCAGTTTCGAATTAATCTTGTAAGTATTTACGAAGGTAAGGACCACGTGGTAAATTATCGGGACTTAAAATGGGTAGATTATGAGAAGCAATAGCTAAATGGTAATTCTGGACTCCATTGTAAAGAGTTTTGAAAGTCAGGGTTTAAAAGGTAACATATGGATTTTATTTGAAGAATAATTTGTAAGGAGGGGTTGAATTGTAACTGTGGGACTAGATATGAAAGAAATTCCGCGAGCAAGGGTGGGAAGGGTAAATTATGGCCTTGGTTTGAAAGAAAAAGAGAAAGGGAGGGCTGATCTTGACATTATGGCAAACTTTTAGTGGACCCGGGTATAAAACTTCACCACCGGCTAAACCCTAACCCAACCCCCTATGCAGCCGTCGCCCTCACCTTATCACCCCCTCGTCCCAGCCACTACCTCCGTGAGGCCATATTAGGATCGCCGACGACTCCATGCAACTCCGACGACAGGCCTGAGGCCGGTGCCAAAGTTACTGTGGTGTTTCCTTCTTCCGAGACCGTCCACCGCTGTGCTGTCGAGCCTCCTGCCGCCCCTCCTTCGCTATTGGATCGCCATCTCTTTCATCCACTTCTAGTTGTGGGTATTGCTTCGTTCCAAGGTGCTCTCTGCTTATCCTCCTCATCCCTTATTCTCTCTAGTTCATTGCTGCAACGTTGCCTTTAGCCACTGTTGTGGCCGTGAAGGTTGTCGCTGCCGTCGTCATGCACCACCATAAGGTGGTGGTTGCGTCAAGATTCCCAAGCAAGTGCATACCGGTGTCGTTGCTGTTTGACAAGAGAACCGCATCACCCCCTCACGGTGGTGGCTGTCACCGCAAAAAGTACTTGTGGCCGTCGCCTCGTGTCACCACCGCCACCGTACGCCGCCAGGTGGGTGGTTGGTTTTCTTTTCTGAGCATAGGAGTGAAGATATGCGTGTTTAAGTGGGTGTGTATAGCTGAAGTTCTCGAAAACAGCATCACCACCACCATAAAGTGGTGGCTGCCGCCAAGCGCCACCGTCGGCCACCACGGTGTAGCTGTGTGTGTGTGTTAGTGAGTGTGTGTGTGTTATTTTGGATAAAAGTCTTGTAACTGTAATTAGCATTGAATAATGAAAAATTATAATAACCACCACCGTAAGTTGGTGGCCACCGCAGTGAGCCGCCATTGACCACTACTACCGGAGGTGGTAGCGGGTGGTGCCCCACAATTAAAACCCTAATGGACCTAACAAAACCTTAATGGGCTTAAAGATTAATTTTGGGCCTATCATCCAGCAGTTGGGGTTGAGTTTGCAGGACTTCAGCAGTGTGGGGTTGAGACTACAGGACTTCAGCAGTGTGAGGTGAGTTACCTTCCAGTAGGGATGTGTCTAAGGCCACAATGTCGGCCCACCAACAGGAGATGTTGATAGATGATTGTCTTTGTGATAATTATGTAGGTTTGCTACTACCTGATATGTTTGTATGCTAGCACGATATGTTATATGTGATAGTGGTAGTAGGAGGGGAATAGTCCCCAAGTTCGGTTGTTAGGACCGAAGGGTGGGTCGGGAAACCCAGATATGCCTGGCAATATGATTATGTTATGATATGTGTGGTAGTAGTAGTAAGGGGTAAAATAGTCACTAGAGTTCGGTTGTTAGGACCGACGGGTAGGTCAGCCCCCAGAATAGCTTTACACGGGTAGGTCAACACCCCAGAATGGCTTGACATGGTATGTCAGCACCTTAGAATGGCTTGACACGGGTATGTTAGCACCCCAGAATGGCTTGAAATGGGTAGGTCGGCACCCCAGAACGGTCGGATCGGGTAGGTCGGGCACCCCATAATTACCCGACAGTATATACGCTATGTGAATGTATGGTATGTGGTATGATGGGGGAACTCACTAAGCTTCGTGCTTACGGTTTACAGTTTTGGTTTCAGGTGCTTTGTTTTCAAAGGAAAGGAGTCGGCTCGATCGCAACACATGACACTATGTTTTCCGCACATGAGATCCTTGGGATTACACTCTGATATGGTTTTATGATATTATGTTTTGATTATTGACAGTTTGGTTTTGAATTGAGACATTATTATGAATGTTTTTATACTGATGGTTTTATGTAATAACTTAATCAAAAAGAAATTTTTGGCCTGTATTTTTGGGATGTTACAAGTTGGTATCAGAGCCTTGGTTTGAGGGATTCGGGCACACTCTCGGGTGTGTCTGAACTCAAACTAAGGGCTTGGTATGAAAATTTTCAAAAGTAAAACCTTTTTATAAAAAGAAGTTTGAAAAAAACTTGAAAAGAGAACAGAACCTTGAAAAGAAAAAAGTGTGTGATGCATGCAATCAGCCGAGCTCAAGTAAGTTTTCCCCAAGATACCTATACATGTTATGTTTTGATATGATTATGAGAACTGCATGCTAGATTAGGGCTAAGGATCTAGGAGGATGCCTTATATGCCTATTGTATGAGCTTGTAGACTTGCATGCTTGTACTAATCATTCAGTGATAGGATAACTTGTTTAGGTTATGCCTGATTGTATGAGCCTTTGAATTGCATGTATACATTTCTGATTAGAGGATAGAATGATTTGATTGGAATATGATGGTTATATTTTCCATTGTCTGAATGTTGCTTGCTTTGTGCTTTGTGGGACTCTTAGGAATGCGAGCTAGCTATTAAGTGAATATGCTAAGTCACATGTGACACAGGCTGGATAATATCAGAGTGATGGATTTCACCCTATTACGCAGCTCTCGTTTGAGTCTAACCGTTCTAGGGATGAGTCTTTTACTCAAATGATTATCAAATCTCTATTGCATATGGCTATATTCATGAGGTAGCTGGTTGACATTACTAGGAATCTTTCAGTAATTGAGGACTAGGTAGGTACGGGAACCTAGGAAAGCCTAGGATATGTTTCGGTGGGTTAGTAGTGAGGCTCAGTGAGAATTTGGTGTACCAGTTGAGGAAGTGACTTGGAGGATCCGGGAAGATTGCTGAGGAAAGTATGGATAGGCGTGGAAGGTAGTATTGGGCATGTACTACTGAAAGCACAGGATCCATACTCGAATCGGTGAGAGTCTTGGAGAATCTAAGAAGCTTCTAGGAGAAGTTTGTGACCCGGTTTGGGGGACAGAGGATGTTCCAGTTGCTGTAGCTTAGTCATTGGCAAGTAAGCTAGTGAGCGTGACAGGGTGTCAGACCCTGAAGGATATGACTTCCAAGAGGATTGCAGATGTGATATCGATTTGGGGCACTTTAAGAAGAGAGGTTCGTGCCATGTGCGTATATTAGAGGGTCCCGAGAAGAGACCGGTGACTTCTGATCATCAGGTGAAAGGACGGCAGGGCTGGAGTCAGTGCGGGAAAGTGCACAAGGGAGTTTGTCGCTCCAAGGGTTTAGGGTGATACAAGGTAGCGGGGTTAGTCATGCCAGCAGAAGGTGGTAAGGACTCTTGGGGTATATTCGAATCCTTAGAATGTCAGTTCAGTATGGTGCTAAGAACCCAAGAGTGAGATTCAGATTCTGGTTCCGGCTCAGGATTAGGGCCTAGGACTTTCGATACGCGATCACAGGAGTTCATCTCATCGGAGATTACTTACAGAGCTATGGGAATGGATTTCACTACTCCTTCATTTAGCCAAGGAAGGGATGTAGTGAGCTCTTGACAGTCATCTTGTGGCCGTGCGAGCCAAATTTGTCGTGGAAAGTTAGGGGTTC